TTAAGTAAAAGGTCGCCCTGTGTGCACAAGGCAGGTGTGGCACAACATCCCTCTCCAGGCTGATCCAGGGCTGCTGAGCAGAGCAGCTGAGCCCTCAGGTGACAGCAGGCTGGGAGAGCTGGGGGTGTCCAGCTGAAGAAGAGAAGGCTCCAGGGAGAACTCACAGCCCCTTCTAGTGACTAAAGGGGCTTCAGTAGAGCTGTAGAGGGACTTGGGACAAGGGCCTGGAGGGACAGAACAGGAGGGAATGGCTTCCCGCTGCCAGGGGGTAGGGTTAGATGGGATATTGGGAAGGAATTTTTCCCTGTGAGGGTGGGAAGGGGCTGGAATGGATTTCCCAGAGTAGCTGTGGCTGCCCCTGGATCCCTGGAAATGTCCAAGGCCTGATTGGATAGGGCTTGGAGCAACCCATGGCAGGGGCTTAAAGGAGATGAACTTTAAAGTCCCTTGAAGCCCAAACCATTCTGTGATTCCATGATTATCCTCTACCTCTTTACAAAACTGCTTAAAATGGGGGTTTGGATGAAGATGGGATCATGGATTCTGATAGTGACAACTTGGCATCACCAAAAACAGATTGTGTCTGATGCTCTCAGAGCTTTCTTGGGTGCCTAGCAGAGGGATTTGGAGGAGGAGACTGGGGTGAGCTGGCATTGCTCCTGGGAGTCCCCCAGTTCCTGCTGTCTCTGGGGTGCAGCTGCCTGCAGAGCTGTGCAGATATCACTCTGGCCAGCTTTGCACTTGTTACCATTTGGAAGAAACCCATGGGAATATTTATGGTGTTGGACTTTGATTTGTGAGCTGGGATCATGCCCTGAGCTAGAGATACCAGATTAAAAACAAACCAACCCAGAAGCACGTGGAGTAACAGCTGTTTACCCCCTGCTTTGTCTTCCCTTGTCAGGAGTCTGTATCTGTGCTCAACCTCTTCACCAGGATACGATAAACCCCCTCCCTGTGCCCCGGGAACCTACAGCCTGACATTCCAGGATCAGACCACTCCCTCGGCGTGCATGGACCTCCGGAGCCCAGCCAAAGGGAGGGAGAGCTGTGGGACTGCAGGAGGACCCAGCTCATTAAACATGTGCTTGTGACCCACAGGGCTGGGCAGTATTTGGGATGGGGTGGGGAAGGGGAGGGAACTGCCAAAGGTTATTGGATTCATCCTTCATAAAGGGAAACGGGTACAAGAGAAGCGTTAACCCAGCATCCTCCGGCTGTCAGGATGGTACTGGGGAGGACTCGAGTGACATGGACCATTGAGACTGGGCCGAGGCCATCCCCACTGCCATGGTGTGCCTCCTGCAAGAGAGGAGCATATCCTTGCTGCTGTGGGAAGGGGTTTGACGTGCTGCTCTGTGTCCTAGAGTGACATCTCTGGAGACAGGAGCCAGCCAGACTGGTCTGGTACAGCTGCTGCGAGGGGCACAGCTCCAGGCTGAGCATCTAAGGGCTTTGTTCATAGCCTGGCATCCCCATTCCAGGAAGAAACTGGAGAACTGCCTATTTTCCTTTTTTTTTCTTTATTTTTCCCCTCAGACAGGTACTGTAGTACTTGACATGATCATTCCATAAGACAGCTTGATTTTTTTAGGCATGCTTGACAGCTGCCTCTGAACAAATACGCTTTGGGGCTCTGGACTTTGGAGGAGACTTGAAAAAGCTTCACCTCAAAGGGAGCAGATATGGGAAGTTCTGCAGTTGCTGTTTCATGTTCTGGGCTGATCCTGGGAGTTACCAGAGAGCAGAAGATAAAGAAACCCACCCAACCACCTGTGCATGTGGAGCTTCCTTCAGTGCCACTGTGTGGGCGCCTTGTTCTGGAGTCTCCCTGAGTCCAAAAGCAGTTGGGATGTGTTTGAGGAAAAAAAAATCCTAAAGATCTGATTTTTGGGGTGAGCAGGGCCTCTTCTGGCTGGAAGAGGGGTTCTGAAGTAGGGCTGCAGCATTGCTTTTTCGTTATCTCCCAGTCCCACACAGGGCCATGCTGTTGAGTTTTGGTGTGTGGTTTGGGGTTTTTAGGTTGTGTGGGACACACAGCTCTGGTTGGTATTGGAGCCCATGGGGTGTAACACAAATGCTCTGTGTGTGTGTGGTGCTTTTAATTTAAGAGAATCTGTGAGGCTGCACAGCCTGTTCATCTGACCTGTGCCTGTGCCTGCCCAGTCCCTGCCTGCCTCCTGCCCTCTCCCAGTGTTGCTTCCTGTTCCCATGTGGAATTCCCTGGCTGTGTATATAGACTTGTCTTCTCTCTGTAGATTGCATAGGTAATGCTTTTCCTTTCTTTTTTTTCTTCGTTGTTTTGTCTCTTCTCCCTTCTTCCCCTAAAACCAGGTGGTAGGAATATGATTGCCTGTCCTCGGTACCACCAGTATCCTTAGGGTGAGCCAAGGTGTGAGAAGGCCAATACAGCCTTGACCACATGTGCCATCACCCCAGTGCCTGGATCAGGCTGATGGTGGTGCACCTGCATCACACATACTGGGAGTCACTGGTGAGAAGCTGGTGCTGGGAGCCCCCTGGCAGCTCTGAGTCTCCCAGGCCCACAGGCCACTTTGTCATCTCACAGTCTCACTTGCCACCAAAATGGAATTGCCATGGAGTTTTTGAAACACTGAGTGCAACTGCTTTAGTGTAGCTCTAGCTGTGGGATGTGTGGCATGGTTTGAAGTCATCCCCAAGCCTGTCTTGTGTTTTTTGTTCCACTTGTTGGCACTGTTCCATATCACTGTGGGTTGGGAGCATCCTAAAGCACCCAGGAGGTGTTAAATTGAGTTGGATCATTCAGCTGGGGAATGAGTTTGAAGTAAAGGGTCACCTGTAGGAAGAGGTGGTCTGTTGTGGGTGTCATCATCTGAGGAAAGGGCCATTCAGGGAGGTTGGTGGCTGTGCTGTGGATTTTCCTGTTGAGGGTTGCCTCCTGCTAAATAGCATTGTGCAGACCCCCAGGACACACCACTTTCTCCTCTGGGAGGGTGTAGGTGCTTGGGCTGGAGGCACACAGGAGGTGTCAGCCCATTCTGGAGCAGGACACCTGGCTGGAATGTGTGGTGATGTTTGGGCTCCACAGTGCCCTGGGGATCCACAGGAGTAGAATTGCCTCTCAACCTGTGATGGGGGAACTTCCTCAAAGAGTCCCTGAAGATGGTGGGGGGAGTGGCAGTGCTGTGGGGTGGGCACTGCAGCCACTGCCCAGTGCTCCCAGCTGCAGAGCAGGGATAGCTCCTCATTGCTTTGTCTCCCACCATTGTCCCCTCTTGCCAAGGACTTTCCTAAACTACATCTTGTGTCTACATCTCACTTTTCTGTCTGCCTTGGGAGAAGATCAGCTCGTGGTGGCTTCTCCTACTGCACTTGGCAGGGAGGCTGGTGATTGCCAGGCCGGGGTTAGTGATTGCCAGGCTGGGATTAGTGATTGCCACGCCAGACTGTTGTGTGGCCACGCACATTGGTGACAGAGCAGGGGAGGATCAGGCTGCTCACCCTGACCTTGCTGTCAGCCCAGTACTGCCACCTTCTCTGCCCTGCTGCCAGCTGCCAGGCAGGGGCTCCCAGTTGTATCTATATGGAGGTGAGTGTGTGCAAGTGTCTCAGGGTGTTACTGTCACTGTCACCGGCTGCTGAAGAGAGAAAAGGGCAGAACTGAGGTGATGTGTCAGTGTGTGTGACCTCTGGGCACTGGCTCGGGCACAGGGTCCTCCCAGAGCTGGGTGACAAAGTCTGTGGCATCGTATCCCAGGTGTCATGTGATGGAAAACAAACATGGGGCACGCTGTAACTTTTTCATGTAAAGCAATTGAACTGGCATTAAATGGGTTGTGAATTTACTGGGTTTGGTCTCCATGGCTCCACTTTGCTTCTCCACAGCGAAGGGTGCAGCAGGTCCCCACCCCACCTCTGCAAGTACCAGCTTTTTTGGCACAGATCTCACCTGCGGTTTATTGCTCCCAGCTTCCCACTCTTGTTTGCTTTCCTGCTGCTGGGAAAGGGCACAGCCTCTTTCCCTGGCCTGGCACAGCCCCTCATTGGTGTGGGGCAGTTGCCAGGGTATAGCTGCAGCAGGCTGGGGGTGCAGAGCCCCTCGGTCCTGCTGTCTCCATGCAGGTGGGACCCTCACAGGGGGGGCACCTCTCCAGTGGGGTACAGCCCTGTGCCCACAGCCCTGTGCCATGTTCCAGTCCTTGGGAGGGACATGGAACCCTGCAGCTCCCTCCCCCAGTGACTGGTGAGTGATGCTGTGAGGACCAGTCCTGCTGCTGGAAGACCCCCCTGGGCTGGGTGGTGTGGGGCAGAGCTGCTCTATGGGGCTGAGCAGCAGGGTGAGGAGAGGGAGGAGTCCTGACCTTGGCATCACCCACTGCTGCTGCCCCAGGCATCGAGCTGAGCTGTGGGTCTGAGGAAGGGATGGTTCAGGAAATGGCACAGAGAAGAGTTGTCAGTGCCTCAGTTTCCCCATCTTGGTGCTTGAGGGAAGCCCCAGGGCCCCTTAACTGGCCTAGAATGGGGTTAAGCTCCAGGGCTTTGCGCTAGGTAAATCCTTTGGGGTGCAGGTTCTGCTGTGCCCCCAGCTCTGCTTCCACCCCCAGCTTATGCTCAGAACCTGTGGGAACCATTGTCCCCACTGTGTACCTGTGACTCTACACCTGCTGGAACCCCTTCCTCTGGCAGGTGAGCCCCGTGCTAGGGAAGGAGCAGGGTAAGAGCCAGGGCCTGGCCAGCTGCAGGGCCCTGGGGCTCCCTGGTGCTGCCCACGACTCCCTTCCCCTCTGTCTCCCACTGTCACCAGCAGCCAGTGCCCCCGGGAGCTGCTCGGGGTCTTCTGCTGCTCTCCGGACCCTGGGACATCAGCACCTGGAGCTGCCTCCCCACACCAGTCAGAGTCAAAGCCCCTGGTCCTGCTGTGTCCTGGTCTGTTCTGGGAAGCAGGGGATGCATGGGGGGCTGGTTCATGCTCATCCTATGGCATCTGGCCCAGCAAATAATAAGTATTAATATAATAGTGATTTTTATTAATCTTTATTAATAGATTATTCTCTATGCCCCTGCCTTGCCTGGGGCTTGGCCCCCTCTCTCTGCTTGCTCCCTCTTGGCAAGGGAGGGCTGGTTGGGGGTTGGTGCTGACTCCAGCTGACTTCCCTGCTCTCTGCCCCATTGGGAGCTCCCTGGGTCTCTTCTGCTGCTGCTCAGGGTGGGCAGACAGGGAGAGATGGAGCCTCAGCCTGTGGGTTTCCCAGGCATCGTGGGGAGCTGGAAGGCACTTGGTGACAGCCCCCCCGAGAGGCCAAGGAAGGGCTCAGAGCAGCCCCTGAGCCCTGGCTGGAGCTCTGGTCATTGTCCTCAGTGGCCTCACGTTGTCTTGTACCTGGGGGGAGGCAGGGTGAGGAGGAGTCTCTGCTGGGGACAGAGACCCCCCCATGCCCCCCACTCACTGCTGTGACAGGTTGAGGTCTGGCCCGGCCCCTGCGAAGGACAACTGCTGCTCCAGCTCCGCGATGCGCAGGCCGATGTACCCCGAGGACAGCAGCAAGGCCACCATGCTGGGGACAGGCCAGCGTCAGCCAGGGGGCACAGGGTGGCCACATGGGGCAAGGAGCAGTGCCATGGGCAGGCCCCTGTGTGCTCGCCCTGGGGATGGGGTCTGAGGGGACCCCAGCCTGCCCGTGCCACCCTAGAGCGGCTGTGTCAGTAGGGATGGGGCCTGGGGCTGTGAGCAGGTCCTGGGGACTCACAGCAGCAGGTAGATGATGATGATGATGTTGAGAGAGCTCAGCTGGGGGTTTATCCGGGACCAAAGTGCGGTGGCCCAGGCACAGAGCACGGCGTGGGGGCCCCCTGTCAGGACAAAGCAGTGCTAGTGGCACTGAGAGTCCGTGCTCAGCTCTGCCAGGGTGTAAACCCCCAGGATCATTCTCCTCCATCCCGAACCCCCTTACCCACCCCAGAGGCCACGTGTCTCTGCTGAGGGCACCCATTCGCTGCTGCGGGGAACCAGCAGGGCCACCTCGCCATCCTCATCCTCCGCTTGCCTTGATCTCAGGTTTGGCTCATCTGCAGGTGACCGGGAGACGCTCGATGAATGCCCCAGGGAGGGGTCTAGGTGTCCTGCGGGCACACGGGGTCACAAAGTGTCGATCCTGCAGTCCCTGGAGCTCTGGGGATGCTGGATGGGGGGGCGAGGGCCACGCGGTCCCAGACCACGCGTGTCTGTGGGGAAGGAGTGGAGCCCAGAGCTGGCAGTGGGGCACGGATGCGGGCGGGGACACGGGCAGGGCCGTGAGCAGGCGAGGAGAGCACCGGGGTAGCCGCTCACCCAGGGCTTCCTGGAGGCTGTTGGGCTCCGGGGTGCTCTGCTCCAGGGCTGACTGGCTCGACATCTGGAAGAGGACAAGCCCCGGGCATGATGTGTGCCCTCAAGGCACCTGCCCCACTGCCATGGGGACATGGGCAGGACCTGACCCACTGTGTCACCCACAGGTGGTGGTGAGTGACCCACCCACCCCAGGGAGGGTCCTGGGGTTTGTGTTGCCTCGGGCTGGGGCTTTTCATGTTCCCCCCCACGTCTTCCCAGGGGCCACTGCACCCAGCCCACCCCATCCAGGGGGCTAGGACCACTCCCATTGTACCCTCCTGCCCTCCATTCCCTGGCCTTACCTGAGACTTCTCAAGCGTTTCCTCACAGCTCACTGAGTCTCGAGGGCTCTGGCCGCTGTCCTGGACAAGGAGAGAGGAAGGGAGGTGTCCTGCAATGGATGGATGGAGCCCCCCTGCCCATCCAGTCCCCACGTACCTGCAGGTGTTTGCACACTGACCTCAGGAGCTGGTACGTGGCCTCTCGCTGGCGCAGCGACACAAAGAGGAACTGCCGGGGAGCGAGAAGGGGATTTGTGCCAGAGCTGCCCCCTCGGTCACGGCCCAGAGCCCACGGGGACCGAGACACTCCAGATAGCCCCAGGTGAGGCTGCCCCAGTGCTGTCCCCACGCTCACCTTTTCCCCCTTGGCCGTGCGGATGCTGATTGCATTGGGCACCAGCAGAGCCGTGTTGGTCTTCTTGAGGGCTGAGATGGAGGCGACAGGGACCACGGCCTGTGCCGGGGGAGGGGGGGACAGGCTGTGTCACCGTGTTCCCGGCTGCCACCTGCGCCCCTGCCCGCCCCGCTGGCCCCACGGCCACTCCAGCCCCACCTTGATGTCCTTGAGCAGGAGGCTGGAGTGGAAGCAGATGTGGCGGGAGGACACGTAGAGGCGGCCGTGGTAGGGCATTTCTCTCTGCCAGGCGCACGAGAAGCAGCCCAGCAGCGCGTCCTGCTCGGCGAGCTCCCCGAAGGCCCGGCGGTAGCTGCTGTCCTGCTTGCTCAGCTGCGGGAGGTCGGGGGGTTGGTGCTTGGGGCGGCCCTGGCACTGCGGGCACCCTGCAGCCCCTTGCTCCATCACCACGTCTGCATCGGAACCGGGACGAGCCTCGGTTCCCCAAAAGAGCGTCCAGCCGAGCCCATGAGGCCGGGGCTGGGGTCCTGCTCCTCAGCTCTGGTACCCCAAGACTCACCGAGGGGGATGGAGGTCCCTGCCTGCCCATGGCCGCCTGCTCTGTCTCTTTGCAGGAGGACTCATAGGTTCTGGATCTGGAAGGAGGCATCGGAGGGGGTGACTGGAGGGGCACAGGTGTGATGTGGGGCTGGGATGCGCCCCCATGAGGGGCAGCACCCACCTGGTGAGCTTGGGCTGCTCCAGCTGGGCACTTCCCCTCTCCTCCAGGCTCCGCCACTGCTTCTCCCCCAGCACCTCCCGCCTGCTGCGCCTCAGCTTCCCCGGCATGAGGGATGAGTCCGAGAGCTGGGAGAGAGGGGGCAGGTTGTGGGAACGGTCTATTGCTGCAGCACAGCAGATCCCAGTGTCACCAACCTGTCCCTCCACAGGGACATGGGCAGGACCTGACCCACTGTGTCACCCACAGGTGGTGGTGAGTGACCCACCCACCCCAGGGAGGACACGGGGCCGGGGCTCAGGCCACGCCGGGGCCGGGACAGCAGAGCTCACCTGCTTCCATGACCCCTTTTCCCGTCCCATGGTTTGTCCTGGCTGCGACCCGCGTGGGCAGCAGGGGCTGGGGTGCCGGGGAAGGGGTGACCCCTGTCCCGGCGGGTGACGGGGAAAGCGCTCCCCGGACTGGGGGTGCCGGCGCGGGTCACGGCCGGTGCTGGCACCGCGTAGCCGGTCTGGCTCCGGAGCGGACGGGAAGGCGGCCGCGGCCCCAGACCCACGCGCGGCCCCACAACCCCGTCCCGGGCAGGCCCCGCGCGGTACCTGCTGGGGGCACAGCGGGGTCCCCCGTCCCGTCGGAGCTGTCCCGCTCCCGCTGCTTCCAGCGCCGTTCCTGCTCCGCTGCCACCTCCTCCTCTTCCTCCTCCTTCTCCCGAGGAAGGGCAGCGGGCGGGGCCGGGCGGCCGCGGCAGGTTCGTCGGGAGCGGCCGGGGCAGCCCCAGCCCGAAACACCCCGGGGCTGCGCGGGGTGAGCCCCAGCCCGGCCCCGGGGAATGCGGGACCGGCCAGCTGCCCCCCAGACCAGCTGCAACCGCACTCCAGTCTCAGCAGTGCTGAGAGCCAGCGCGGCACAGCCCCAGACCCGCGGCACTCGGCAGTCCTGCGGCGTTCCACAGTGGGCACCCCGCAATCCGTGGGCACCCCGCAATCCCGGGACGTCCCGCGGTGCCGGGACTCCGCCCGGTGCTCGCTCCCCTCCCTCCTGCCCCGGCCCCCAAGGCCGGGCAGTGCTGGGGGCCCGCCCGCCCCTCGCCCCGGGGGTCGCTGCCGTGGGACCCCCAGGGGCAGGCGGGGAGCGGGCACGGCCGGGCCGGGGGCGCCGGCAGAGCCGGGGCAGCGCTCCCGCCGCGGGCCTGGGCAGGTGCGAAAGCCGCGGAGCCAGCCCGGCTCGGGCCCTGCTCTCTGCACCGGGGCTGGAAACGCCCTTCCCGCTGCGGGACACGCCAGAGAGCCGGGCCGGCCCCCGGAGGGACACGGCGCGGCCCGGGGGCTGCACCCCGCACCCCGGGCTGCCGCTCCATCCGCCGGATCCCGTTCCATTCCCGGCCACACGCGCGTGTCCCTCCCTGCCCTTGGCCACACCCTGTCACACCCCAGCCCCTGCACCCCCCTCAGCGCACACTCGTGTCCTCTGTGCACGCACGACCCCACAGCCCCCATGGGAGCCCCACAGAGGCTCCGTGCCAGCCCACCCAGAGGGCACACACGGAGCTGAGTGTGCAGGAACAGGGCACGGACCATGGAGAGCCTCTGCCATGGAGCCAGGCTAGGAGAGCTGGGGGTGCTCCCCTGGAGAGGAGAAGCTCCAGGGAGAGCTCAGAGCCCCTGGCAGGGCCTGAAGGGGCTCCAGGAGAGCTGGAGAGGGACTGGGGACAAGGATGGAGGGACAGGACACAGGGAATGGCTCCCACTGCCAGAGGGCAGGGCTGGATGTGAGATTGGGCAGGAATTGTTCCCTGGCAGGGTGGGCAGGCCCTGGCACAGGGTGCCCACCCTGGATCCCTGGCAGTGCCCAAGGCCAGGCTGGACAGGGCTGGGAGCAGCCTGGGACAGTGGAGGTGTCCCTGCCATGGCAGGGTGGCACTGGGTCCCTTTGAGGTCCCTCCCAGCCCAAAGCATCCCACGGGATATGGGATAACCCCCGGCACCCTCCCGCTCACAGCCCGCGTGCACCCAGCACATCCCTGCACACACGCGGGGCACACGCAGCACGGACACAAACACAGGATCACATACGTGTCAGCTATGGACACACACTGTTCACACACACACACACACACACACACACACGGAGTCACACACACTCGCACTCACTCTCACACACTCATTCACACACACTCTCACACTCACACACAGACACACACACTGTCACTGTCACACACACACTATCACTGCCACATTCACTCTCACACACTGACACACACACTCTCATACACAATCACACTCAGGCACACACACTCAGACACACTCACACACACTCACTCTTTCACACTCACACACATACACTGTCACACACACTCTGTCACACACAATCACACACTCAGGCACACACAGACACACACTCTCACTGTCACACAATCAGTCACACACGCTCACTCTCACACTCCCACACACTCTCACACACACTCTCACACTCACACTGACACTCTCACACATTCAATGTCACTCTCACACTCAACTCACTGTCACACACACATGCTCACTCACACTCACACACTGACACGCACTCACACACACTCACACTCACACACACACTGACACACACTCACACATTCACTCACACACGCTCACTCTCACACACACACATGCACTCACACATTCTCTCACTCTCACACACACTCACTCACACTCACACATTCACTGTCACTCTCACACTCACTCACACATACACACGCACTCACACATTCACTGTCACTGTCACTCTCACACACACAATCACAGTCACACACACTCACACACACACTCACTCTCACACATTCACTGTCACTCTCACACACTCTCACACACACACTCAGTCACACACTCTCACACACACACATTCACTGTCATTGTCACTCACACACAATCACACAGTCACACACACACACTCGCTCTCACACACACATTCACTGTCACTCACACACACACACAGTCACACACACACACACACACTCATTCTCACACATTCACTCTCACTCACTCTCACACATTCACTGTCACTCACTCACACACACTCACACATTCACTGTCACTCTCACACATTCACTGTCACTCACACTCTCATTCTTGCTCTCACACATTCACTGTCACTGTCACTCTCACACTCTCACACATTCACTGCCACTCTCACACACACTCACACATTCACTCTCACACACACTCACTCTCACACATTCACTGTCACTCACACTCTCACACTCACACATTCACTGTCATACTCTCACTCACACACACACACTCACACTCACACATTCACTGTCACACACTCACACTCTCACTTTCACACACACTCACACAGTCACTCACACTCTCACACATTCACTGTCACACTCACATTCACACACACTCACTCACACTCACACATTCACTGTCACACACTCTCACATTCACACACACTCACACTCATTCTCACACATTCACTGTCACACACTCACTCACATTCACACACACACTCACACTCTCACTCATTCTCACACATTCTCTGTCACACACTCTCACATTCACACACACTCACACTCACACACATTCACTGTCACACTCTCACATTCACACACACACTCACACTCTCGCTCACTCTCACACATTCTCTGTCACACACTCTCACATTCACTCACACTCACACTCACACACATTCACTGTCACACGCTCACATTCACACACACACTCACACTCTCACTCACTCTCACACATTCACTGTCACACACTCTCACATTCACACACACTCACACTCTCACTCTCACACATTCACTGTCACACTCTCACACTCACACTCTCACTCACACTCACACTCTCTCCCTCCCTCGCAGTCCCCGCCCCCGCCGCGCGCGGGCCGCTCCCATTGGCTGTCCGGCGGGGGGCGGTGCCGCGCACGGACCAATCGCGTTCCGCAGCGCTGCCCGCCATGGCCGCTGGGGGCGGTGCCGCCCCCCGGCCCCCGGGGCGCCCCCCGGCCCCCGGGGCGCCCCCCGGCCCCCGGGGCGCCCCCCGGCCCCCGGGGCGCCCCCCGGCCCCCGGGGCGCCCCCCGGCCCCCGGGGCGCCCCCCGGCCCCCGGGGCGCCCCCCGGCCCCCGGGGCGCCCCCCGGCCCGGGCACCCCCACCCTGCTCCCAGCCCAGCCGTGCCCTCCGCACCCCGCAGCGGAGCCCGCCCCCCGTCCGGGGCCGTCAGCTGCGCTTGGCTTTTTCTCTCCTTCTTCTTTATAAAGTGCCGTTTGTACGTATTGACCTTACAAAAGCAGGTTAAAACCTCGGGCCCAGCGCCGCCCTCTTGTGAGGCTGCCCCGGCCTGGCCTAGGCCCTTCTAGTGTTCATTGTGCAGGAGAGAGGTGACAGGTGACCCTGCACCGGTGACACCGCACCTGGGACAGCCTTCATCGGCCCGGCGGGGTCGGGACACCAGAGCCCAGGGCGGGGACAGGGGGTCAGGGTGGGAATGTGAGTCCAGTGCGAGGAGACGGGGGTCACCCCCTCCCCAGAGTCCGGTGCCCCCAGTGCAGGGCACCCTCCAGGCTCGGAGTGTGGCGCCGCGGTGGCCCAGGGCATGGTGGCCGAGAATACAGCCCTGAGGACACAGCCCTGAGGACACAGCCCTGAGGACACGGTGGCCGAGGACACAGCCCTGAGGACACAGCCCCGTTCAGTTGACGTTGACGGTGCCGCTCTGGCTCTCTCCCTCAGTGCTGCCGCTTTCAGGGGTCATTGCGCTGCTCAGCCCCTGCAGGCTGACAGCACCTGGAGGAAGAGGAGGGACAGGTCAGGAGAGATGGCAGTGTGGGGTGACCCTCACGTGCTGGCCTGGTCCTCCTGGACTCTTCTGCTAGCACCAAGGGCATGACCCAACATGGCCCCACGCAGCATGAGGGGTCTGTCCTGTTCCCCCAACCACAGCAAGGCACTGGCACCCCGAGGGGCAGAGCAGGCACTGAGCAGGACTGCTGGCTACTCAGCCTGTCAAGGGTCAGCCCATAGTCCCCCACATTTGCTGCCATCCCTTGGAGCCCCAGGGCCAGCATGGCCATAACCAGGCCAGGGGGGTGCTGCCCTCCAGAAGGGCACAGCAAGCAAACACAGCCCCTCTCTATAGGCAGCAGGGAACTGAGACAGTGACCCTGCCCTGTGTCCTACTGTGAGGGTTCCCCTGCAAGCATGGCCACAAGCCAGCCCAGTAACAACAGTGCTCCCACCGCTGCCCCACTGGGGCCATCTGCAAAGACACTGTGGCGTTAGTCCAGGCTAGCACTGACCACAGGGTTCCCAGTGCTCCCAGCCCCACACACCTTGGGCTGCCCCCAAGCCCTCAGCCCCACTCACGGCAGCGGATCCGGATGGGCCACACCATGATGGAGCACAGTGTGGTGACAGCGGTGACAGCAATGCCACCAGTGACCAGCACCATCACCCAGCGGTAGAACTCGACACAGGCAGGGCAGCACAGCTCAGTCCTGCGAGGACAGGCAGGAATGTGGTTGGAGGCCAGGACTGGGGTCCCAGGCTATGGGCAATGGTCCCACGTCCTCAGTCAGACTCAGGACTGGTTTCCACTGGGATGTGAGGGGAAGGCCCAGGGCAAGGATATCCTCAGGGTATGGCTTCGGCCCTCATCCACGGCCAGGAGAGAAGGTGAAGAAGGGTTTAAGGCAAATTAGAGCTGGACAAAAGAAGCCTCCAGGGAGACCTCAGAGACCCTTCCAGTGCCTAAAGGGGCTCCATGAGAGCTGGAGAGGGACTTGGGACAAGAGATGGGGTGCAGGACATGGAGGAATGGCTGCTTTCTACCACAGGGCAGGGTTAGATGGGATATTGGGAAAGAATTCTTCCCTTTGAGGGTGAGAAAGCCCTGGCACAGGTTGCCCAGAGCAGCTGTGGCTGCCCCATCCCTGGAAGTCTTCTAGTCCAGGCTGGACAGAGCTTGGAGCAACCAGGTGTAGTGGAAAGTGTCCCTGCCCATGGCAGGAGGTGGAAGGAGATGAACTTTAAGGTCCCTTCCAATCCAAACCATTGTGGGAGTCTACAAATCCAAGCTGGTTCCCTCCCATGTCTCTTGCTCCAACCCTGGAATATTTCCTCATGGCCCCCAAGCGATGGGGGTCCCAGGTCTGCAGAGACACTTACGGGCAGGGGTGCAGGTTCTGGATCAACATCACAGCCAGGCCATTGGCCATCTTGTCCGTGAAGCTCATGGCACCGTAGACAAACGCGCTGCTGTGCTGCGGGAGGAGAGGGAAGCGCGCTGAGCCGCACTGAGCCGCGCTGAGCCGTGCTGTGCCGCGCTGAGCCATGCTGTGCCGCACTGAGCCGCGCTGAGCCACGCTGTGCCGCGCTGAGCCGCGCTGAGCCGCGCCGT